TCTCATTTCCATCTAATGAGAATAATATAGCACCGTGAGTGCATTAAAAATCCCAATACATTATTCCTTTTGTTTTGAAAACCATCCGTGGCCTGCCCACTTGTATGAACAGTTCTGGCGCCGCCACAGACTAGCGTAGTGACCAAATCGTCTCAAGACTTTCTGCATTTTTATTTGCATTCGGACAACAATGCTCTGTTTTTTTGCTAAGAGGGTGGAAGATAATGATGCAATTCTCTCTCATCAGGGATATAATATCAACAGCAGTCAGTCAATGGTGTGGCGCCAGAGATATATTAGCTTCTGCAGCACATTAACTATGTATAAACTTGTATGAACAGCCTGTGTAAACTAGGAGCGGCGCCCTTTACGAAAATAAAATCTTTGTACGACATGGTTCTTACTAATTTTGTTTTACACTAAAACTATTACAGAGAACACTCAGTGCTTGCCTTGAATCAAATGGACGTGGAGGGGGATATAGTCGGGTTCATGGCCTTGCGGGAGTACCCACTCGTCCCGTCGATAGACCCGAGCGCCTGGGAGGAGTACATCTGGGCCAAGTACAAGTTAGTATGACTTGCGCAGATAAAGAATGGATCCACATAGTGCGCAGTGTTAGTGCGTCTGCCTGGGACGCAGAAGGTTACGGGTTTATTTATCATATCATAGTGATCATATTTATCATATAATTTGTGCAGTCTGGTTCAACTACCTGATTGTCCGAAAGCATGATGGTGGTGAAGCCTTGGAGGGCACGTTAAGCCGTCGGTCCCGGTTGCTGTCTATGATTCATTGATTTAGTGACGGCGGTCATTACCTAATCATGTCATAGGCCTGCTACTTGTAGTAGGCGGTTGAAAAACTCTGAAACCGGGGCTCATCGGATCGTTGGACGACTCGGTGTCCCAGTCGAAAAAAAGAAGATTTTCATTTTTATCCTAGGCTAGAAGACATTTGTCTCGCTTTTCCTACCAACATGCTTCCTTTCAGGACGATAGAACTGACAGCCAGGAACACGCTCTGGATACACCTGCTCTGCTGGAAACGGTGCTATCCCCGAGAGGTGCTGGACTTCCTCTTGAAGTCTGTGTACATGCACGACCCTTACGTACTTCACATCTGTATGATCAAGACTGTTCTTAGCTGTCCACGTATGTGCAATATTTTTTATTCTTTTAACATAGGAATAGATCATTCTTTAGTCATTAAGTAGTCTTATTAGACTGTCGTATTCGGTATGTAACGTATCTCCTTAGAGTACCTATTTAAAAGCAAGTTATAGAGTGCGCCTAAAAAGTTAGGACGGTTGGCAGTAGTCTGCACACAACCTCTTTATTACAAAACGCCGGTGATAACACTAGTGAACCTCTATAACTTTTCATACATTGGTCCCTCCAAGTCCCCGGGCATTGGGGTCCCACTCGGCGCGCGACTCGTTGGCGGTACCTACTGCTGCTGGTCCGTCTGCGGCCGGTTCTGTCTGGCCGCACTCGGGCCTTAATTTGTTCCCACGCTCCCCTACCCCATGACCTGCCCGTCTTCCGCCTTATAGGCGAAGACTCAGGATTATGCCTAGTTGGGGTCTCCCCGACGGCCCGGCCTCATGGCCGTCCTGAAGACTACTACGACGAATTTTATTTAGAGTTGGTGCCGGGCACGTTGCGCGCTGAGGCGTGTTTCCGTCGCGTGCAAGCCATGGAGCGCGGGATGCCGGGCGAGCTGCTGCCCTTGCTCTTCATATCCGACCGCATCAATCTATGCCCAATCTATACCTTGTAATGAGGCGAATCCGTGACTTTGAGGAGCAGCGTAAAGCAGAGCTCGACGCTAAACGCGATGAACTGAAGGCCAGTCCTTCCGCCGCCATTAATATATGTATGTTCTGTAGAGTTGGTGCCGGGCACGTTGCGCGCTGAGGCGTGTTTCCGTCGCGTGCAAGCCATGGAGCGCGGGATGCCGGGCGAGCTGTTGCCCATGCTCTTCATATCCGACCGCATCAATCTATGCCCCCGGCTCCGAGTCCGCCGCGCTGTGTGAGTACCAAACTATACTTTCTTGCACGATCATATCATGACGTTCTTTCTATTTCTATTTATTTCAGCCTATTGCAGTCCACTGCTGGATGTAGGCTACCCCCAGGGAACGCCATAAGGCACGATCTCCCGTTTTTGCCATCCAGTCGCTACCCGCCTTATTCAAGTCATCGGTCCATTTGGCCGGAGGGCGTCCAACGCTACGCTTGCCGAACTTCTAGAACTTCTTTAGCTGTCTACAATCGCTCTGGGGAGATTAAGACTGCTTGGTGCCCTAAGCAATACAAGCCTGTGGGCCCCCCTATCCGTATAGGTACAAAGCAGAATTGATGTAACGCGAGCGATTTTTTTTGTTACGCACGCATAATGCATCGCCATACAAGAGAGCTCGACATTTACTTAATACTAAGAACGAGCAACAAACACAGAAGTGAAAAAGCTTGTTACTGAATTGCTACAAATGGGGGCATCAACCGATCGCGGGGCCCTTGTGCTTCTTCTGGTGCCCTCTGAGACGTGATGCCCTAAGCAATTGCTTAGTTTGCTTTAGAGTTAATCCGCGACTGCTATTGCGACCATCAGTCAGACCTGTTTGTTTCGCCGAATCCACCTACGGCACTTCGACTTCGCTAATTCGTATGAGCTTAAATTATAGATAGATAGATAGATTAACACTTTATTGCTTACAAACACTTTAAAACATTAATTATAAATCTTGTTTTGCTTTTACTTTTGCTTTACTAAAAATGCTTGATGCTCTGCTCTTACCGCTACATTTACCTTCGCTTTAGCTGCCTGTCATTCATTCATAAGACTTCTCTTCTCCTCCAGTGAAGAAGACAATGACGATCTAGTGCCTATAATCGAGCGTCACTCGGAGCGGTTGCGAGAATTGTACGGGGATTTCTACATCAGCGAACTGATCTCGCGGCATCCGGAGTCCGAAAGAGTGATTCTTGTTTGTGAGGTAGGAGGACTCCTAAAACAATACGAATACACATTTAATGTCCCCGCAGCGCTATCAGGATTACTTGAGCCGCAAGAAGCGTTCTTATTTCTTGAATTAAATAAACCTACATTCAGGTGCACACACATTGTAAGATGTTTAGACTATCCCGCGATTAGGTGTCCATTACGACGAGAATACTACCTACCTACAGACTCCTATAGTCCGACAAGTTCGCGCGCGACCTTCCCTATGGGTGACTGATGCAGGGAGTCTTGTAAATTTTGCATTGCGCTTACTAATCATCTTGCCAATCGTTGTAAGTATGATACATAATAGGTACCCCCAAAATGGGGAAGGCCCCGGTGTAGCTGTGAGTTGTGCCTGTTGATGATGATGTTGAGATTTTAGCAGCAAATTTTACACATTTTAGTTGCTAGGAAAGAAGATGCTAATCTTCCTTGGATTTATGCCTTAGTCGCCTTTAAGCCTTCGCCTTTGCCGTAAACGATGCCCACAGTAAGTCATGTCATGATCTATCCTTAACTCTTCATGTAAGGAAATTATAGGGTGATGCCATTCTAACAGTTGAAACCTGCTTGCTCCACAGCACAAAGAAGTGGCCGTGGGCGTGATGATACTCAACACTCAGATCAACTTCGAGTCTCTGGAAGAATGTTTCGAGTTGTCACCTTTTGCTGGTCTGCGCAATCTCGATCAGCCGCCGCATAAACACAAGTTGTCGGACGATACTACTAGCTAGTAAGGGTGGTTTCACCTTTAGCCTTCTCGCTTCTTGTGTGTAGGTTTTGTACGGGAAAATGAGTGGAGACCGGCATTGGAAAAATTTAATTTAGGAGCCCTAGCGCTTGGTGGAGCGTTGGTCTTCGCAGAATAGTTAAGAGAAACTAGATGAGACTAACTTAGGGCGTGTAACTGCAGAAGCCTATGTCCAGCACTCTTTGTGGTTCCGATCAAAATCATGTTTTGCTAGAACGAGAAAGGGCAAGATTATCGCCTCGAGCGTTCTGCCTCCAACAGTCCCACCAAATGACGCTTCTGTGCGGTAGAAAAGATAGAGCTATGGGAAAAGGAAAACGGGTGCTGATGGGAAAAATGGTGCTTAAAACGCAGAATTTGCTGTGACTTTCTGAACTGAACATAAGTAAAATATTTGAAACTCACATACAAAATTAGTTAGAGTAATTCTGGGTTGGATCTCCTTTTGAAATATTTTCAGCGAATTTCTTTGCATCACAAATTCACTAAGTTCTTTTCTCTAGCTTGTCTACAGATGTAGTTCCTGAAAGTACTTACACGGCATCAATTCAGCAGGAGTCCTTTCCATCATTCTTTTCAGAAGAGGACAGACAAATCTCTCAAGTAGTATCACAACCGGTAAGTATCTGTTTAAGTTCTAAACTATGCCTGTCATTACATTAAATAGCACTGAGTGCCGGCTACGCCGAAGATTCCGGGTTAGACTCTCGGTGGGCCACTCACAAAGATGATATTTATTAGGTATCACTTTGTGTATTTGTTCCCAGTCTGGTTGGGACGTTGCAGGATGAATCACCTGATTGTCTGAAAAGAAAGATGGTTGCGAGCTTCGGAAGACACGTTTAACCGTCGGTCCCGATTGCTGTCTATGATTACCTTAGTTAGACGATGGTCGTTACTCCGTCGTCGTGTGTTACACACACAACCATTTCAAAGGCCTGCTACTTGTAGGTCCTACCGGTTCTAAAACTCTAAGGGTTCATCGGGTCGTTGTTGGACGATTCGGCGTCCCAGTCAAAAATAAGATAATGGATCTATTCGGATTGTAATGCACTCACAGTGCTATATTATTCTCACAAGTGAAAATAAGAAATAGAAAAAATCATCATATGGTTTGAATTCCACTCATAATGTGGACTAGCCATGTAGTAAGTTCTAAATACTTTCTACAGATGTCGCTGTATCGTCGCTTCGAGACGAGCATCAAGAGATAGAAAATTTGCCATTCATCAACCGGTGCATCGATAGCTCAGTGGCAGAGCGGTGGGCCGCGTTTACCCATGCGGCCCGGGTTCGATTCCCGGTCGATGTATGACATTTTTTCTATTTCTTATTTTCACTTGTGAGAAGATAATGGGTAAGTAAGTACCTACGTATGAGATTGGGAACATCTTGTAAACGGATCAGCAATCCAGTACTTGAAGAGCCATCAAGTCTGTACCTATGTAAATTTTTTCTGGATCTCGGTAATAATCCCTGGTGGTAGTGGCCTGGTATTTACCTATTCAGGACACTACTTGTAGGCCTAGTAGTTTTCCTCAGTTCCCTTTTTTATTATGATTGATTACTTCCTAACAAAGTACTCATGGGGGGTGGTGACAGCCTATCCTGTCATGACAAGGTGTATATTTTATGGAATGGCGTCCTTATATTTATTTTATTATAAGGAAGTGTTCTCAAACCCATTCCGACCACACTACTATCACTGGTTATGTGATCACTTATTCAGGCCAAGGAAAAACAAAGAAACTAAAGCCGCGATTCCATTATGCAAGTCTTGCATGCAAGTATGACGTCACGCTTGCAACTTGCTGCATGCCTTTCCATTAGTCCAGTGGCATGCAACTTGTACCTCGCGAATTGCGTCTTAAAAAACTGTCAATTCACAGCACGTAAAATTGGCACAAAAATCGGAGGTGAGGGGAGGGGAGGTGACCGGTGCCGGTGGATCGGAGCCGCTCCTTAGAGAGGTGTCTACGAAAGAGCTGACCGTGGAAGAGAGGGAGCGGTTCGAACGAGACAGGGTCCACGAACGGGTGCTGTATAGCGCGCAGGTAAGCGTGCCACATTTATCAAATTAATCGAGATTATATCGTCATGTCAGTTCGTCACGTCGTATCGTCAAGTTCAGTCAATATCGATATGTTGGCCTAGAATTCCGATATATTTTTGATATTTCTGAAATCTAAGAAAATTAATTCCTTCTTAGTACTTTCTGCTTGAATTAGATAGCACCAAAATCAAAAGAAACACGCTCAGTCACACACAGATTTTGTTTACACACAGAGAAGCAGGGGCGGATTAAGACTTCATAAAATAAGTGGATTTATTTCATGGGCTTTTCGATTCAATGTATTGAGATTTTTCGATATCAATATGTACCTAGTACTTTATTATTTATTCTTTTATGCTAGTACCTACTAATATGGTCGTTTTTAAGTGTCGTCGATATATCGATGTTTCTTGAAGTTCAATATGTCGATATTTAATAATACCACAAAATAGAGAGTATACAGAAAGTTCACTCGGCCCTATTTCGGATTTTCGCGATTGGCATTTGTTACAGAGCAAGGGTTGCTAGTGTCAAAAATCTCGAAGTAGAGTCTGGCCAGCGAGTCTTTGGACACGGAAATGGCGCCAATTTTAAAAATCTTTCACATGTTAACACTGAAAAACTACAATAAAACAATTTTGATACTTACTATTTTTTTGTTTTCTATTCTTTAGTTTGTGTTTACCTTGCCTACCGGTATGTATGTATGATGTATCTACCGGGAGTAACAGAAAGGGTATAACAAACCGAAAGGAGGTCAAGGTACTCATGAAACTGAACAACTTTTCCCATTAAACATGGGTCGATATATGAAAACAATATTTGGACCTCCCATACAAAATAGCAGATCAGCTGATTGATTTACTCTGAGAGGTCCAAATTTTTTTTCATATTTCGTCTCATGTTCCATGGGGAAAGTTGTTCAGTTTCATGAGTACCTTGACCTCCTTTCGGCTTGTTATACCCTTTCTGTTACTCCCGGTAGATACATCATACATACATACCGGTAGGCAAGGTACACAAACTACAGAGCAGAAAACAAAAAAATAGTAAGTATCAAAATTGTTTTATTGTAGTTTTTCAGTGTTAACATGTTGCCATTTGAAATATTTGAATTATTTGACGTCCAAAGACTCGCTGGCCAGACTCTATAAAAATATTTAAACAGAAAAGTCTGATATAGAACTTGTATAGAACGTCATATGATTCTGAGCCAATTTCAAATCCAAGAAATGTGACGTTCGTGTCAACCACCTTCTAAGATACCTTGACTTCCCCTGAGATTCCGGTTATTTCTAGTTAAAGTCAGTAGCCGTCAAAATCGCCGCTATAGTCCGTCAAGTTCGTGCGCGACCTTCTTGCGGGGTACAGACGGTGGAGGGGCGAGGAAGCACGTCAATTTAATATGACGTGCGGTGCGGATGCGCGCTTCTCCCTTCCCCGCTACACCTCCCGCTACCCGCTGACATCTCCCTCCCCAACGTCTGTCACCCCTAGGGAGGGTCGCGCATGAACTGGACGGACTATAGTACTGAGTGAGCCATCTGTAAAGGGGCCCCGCGCGCCGTTTCCCTAATTTGTGATAATACGATTCACCCTTACGCGCAGGATGGAAGATTGCTTGGAAATGTGTCTGTACTACAGTACTTCGACCGGTTCACTGATGAAGAGGAGGAGGTGGAGTTTGACATCGTCAATATTGACCCTGAACTGTTGCGGGTCCCTTACTTGAATGTGTGCGTATTTATTTTTTCTACTATTCCCAGGGTTTTGTTTAGGCACACACTTGACTGTAGAATGTAGATGTGTAACGACCAAGCCTTTTGGCTGAGATGTAGGTAGAGTCTAAGAAATAGTTATAGGTCGATGGGGTTGATGTGTAGATTCAGAAGCTTGGCTTGACTACCTACTTGACATGTAACATGTTTTTTACAGGGTCGGTAATATTTACTTTTGAATGAACATGACTTTTGGTGCGATTATACAACGTGTTACAAAACAACCCATAAAAACTCCCATACAAATAGAGTTCAGTTTGTATGGAAAGTCCAATTTTTATTGAAAATCATACATAACATTACATTTTCAATGGATGTTTCAGATCGAAAACTCCAATTTCAAAGAATCTTATTGAAGGCAGAACTAAAGACTTAGTGGAAACAAATGGTGGAACTACTATTACTACAAAGAAGGAAAAAAAGGAGTGAGTGATGGAGTAGTTGACAGGCTCCTTTTAATTATTCTATCTTTCATGTACCTAAGCCCTGATTTTTATGGAAGCATTTGTTTTGTTTAATGCAAGCAGTTCTTTTGACTCCATTTCTTCTCATGAGTTTTCTAAAGGAAATGGGCAGATAGATTCCCTAAGAAATACAAAACGTTGCACTGCGCTTGCCAATCCACGTCACGTGCAATAGGATCCATGTCTGGACACGAATCTGTTCTGGCAATAAACTGACGTAGCCCCTTTGGTTAAAAGCGTCTCGCTTGTACTGATAGCGATAGTCAAGTTCCATAATACTGTCATTGTAAAAGTTCTCAGTAGAGTGATTTTTGCAGTGGATCTTCGATGAAACCACCGGAGTATATAATTCGCTACACAGGGACATCCAACGCTTTCCTGCTTGAACTATGCGCTATGCACCAGGATTACGATGAAAGGTAACAAACTCTTACAGGGTTCATCGGATCGCAATCGTATTTTTACGGACATTAAAAATGCGGTAGGTTCTTTTGCAAGCATTTTCGTTATTTTGTAAAATCCTTTTTGTATTTGAGTCTTTGCTGATCATTGGGGCTCATGATATTTCCCATGTGGTAGCAGCTAAGAATACTGCCACCCCTAGTCCGCTTTGAATGTTACCTAAAAGGCGACGTAGAGTTTTTTACCTTGGTTGAATATCTGCCAACTATGGTCTCAACCGCATGGTGGCGGTGAGACCACCTACAATAGAATTCTCAAAGGAGGTTGACGACAGGCAGGCGGCCGGTCATAAAGCTAAATCCTTTTTTTTGCTAGATGATTTTGTGTTCTAACAAAACATGTTGTGTCAACCCCAACTGATTGATGATGGTGTACAAAATAGCACATGTATAGTCATCCGTCATATCACAATGCCATACGAAATAACTTTTGCAACAGAAATGCCTTCGACATGCTGGAAGCGGCGTATGAGATATTTCCAGACCGGGACTACTGCGTCATGAGTTTGCCTTCGAGTCATCCGCCGTTCCCGCTACTCGAACATTTTACGGTAAATAATCAACATTAGTTTTTCGTATATAGCAGCCTTATTGTTTAGAAACTAAGTGAACCCCGCAAGAATTTTAACCTATTTTAGATAAGCGGTTCACACTTTTGAACCCAATTTTGTTAGACAAATTAGTCCCTGAAATTCACACCCACTTGTATTATCAAAAAGTCCATCCCTATTTTTATCAAAACCCGAGATTGTTTCAGGTTTATGTTATGACAAAACCGAGTCTAAATCTTGTCATGTACTGGTGTCTGACCAAAAACGTAGGTTATTGATCAAAAATGTATAGCCTCATTCTGAGGCAGTCTGGTAAAGAGTACTTTTAAAAAAAATAACGTAGTTTGCTACGCTCCCGTGTGCATTGCTACACACGCCTACACTACGTAGTAAATGAGTTTGATGAATAAAACTCGAGCAGATAGTTACGTTACGGTCGTACGCAGGATATGTGTGGTCGACTTTAAAAAGAACAAATTCGCAATAGAAAACTTACTTTGCTACGCTCCCGTCTGCATTACTACTACACGCGCCTACGCTGCGTAGTATTTCGTAGCAAAGTACTACGTAAATGATTTTGTTGATTAAAAATCGAGCAGCCAGTTACGTTACGTTCGTACGCAGGATGTGTGTGGTAGACTTTAAAAAAAAGTTTCGCAATGGGATCTGTAGGTATTTGTTACATAGTATTTTTCTCTTTAACTGCCACAACAGTCAACTTTTTCTACCTTTTATACCGTCTACGCTACTTGCAGCTCCGATGAAAAACAAAATAAGTAATCTGTCCAGTCCAGTAGCATGTTTTAACATTTACCGTGCTTGTTACAGCTGGTAACCCCGCACAGCACCCGGATGAGGTTTATAAACGAATCCCTTTACGTGGCTCATGTAAATTCCGTCAGAGGGTGAGTATTTATATTTGATGACTGTTTGCGATTGTGGTCCCGTTTTCGTCCGGATCTAAAATGCTGTGAATTATTATTAAATTGGGAACTGGTTGACATG